ATTCCTGCTCCTCTGCTCCAGTCGGCCAAAATCTTCCCCTATCTAAGCCATCCAGAGAGCTGTGGGCTAGTATTTCCACAGATCCCCAGAGCCCTGACCTTATCTTGGTCTAATCACTGTAATGAGTTTCTTTTAACTTCCTTGGTGACAAAACAAAAAGCAATTTACTTCAGAAATCTCCATTCTCTTCTATCTTTGAGAATTAATGGAGATCCAAGCACTTACCTGAGAGTATCAAAAGCCTGATAGTAGTAACAAAACAACAAACAAATCAAAACCAAGACTTCCATCATTGAAATGTGCCTTACATATATATATATTTCATTGAAAAACCACTGTTCTAAGTTAGATATACCATAGATTATGAAATGCTTACACATATTCACCACTTATGTTTATAGGTGTTGTTTTATTTATTATTTAGGTAATTAGGTATAATTGCTTTCAAAATGAGATAAATATCCTATATTAGTAGCATTTAACAAACTTCTTAAATCATTGGTATAAATATTTCAATTAAAGAAACAGGTCTGGAGACAATATGTTTGAATCTCAGCTTAGGCTCTTAGTAACTGAGTGACTTAGGGGAAATTACTTAATATCTTTGAACTTTAGGGTCTTCACCTGTAAAACAAGACTAATAATATAGTACCAATCATATATAGGTTGCTTTAAGAATTAAATGAGATGAGTGCTTGGAAACTGTACAACATGCAGTAAGCACTCAACAAATGTTATCTATTATTATTATTATTATTGACCAGTAAGTTTCTTACTTAGCTGCATAAAACTTAATTCCAGTATACCTTTTGCTTTTTTAAAAAAACGATTAAGATGATTTTAGAACTTTCAGGGGAAAATGGGATTTTAAATAATATATAAACAGTAATAATAAAAAATTACAGTCAAATATTGGTACGTATATAAAAATTGAAAAGCAGAATTGTCATCCTTTTGCAGATAGTTTACCTCAAAGTCTATCAGCTGTAGGTCGGCTATCAGTGTCACCAGCAGCCCACTATTGTAGAGTTCTTGTGCTAGCTGAGCCACAGCTTCTGTTGGGGGTTCTTTGTCACTTGTCCCACACAGAATTTCTTTCATTGCTTGCAGTGATTTTGACACTTCTTCTGAAGCCTAGTGACCAAAAAGTATGCTAATAGTTGAGTAATATAAAATTTCAGCTTATAAACAAACAAACAAAACCCACTTATTGAGCCCTGCTTATTTATGATTAAAGAACTGTGTACAGTTACAAACAAAAACCATTCAGTAGGCACTGCATTTTTTATTTCAGAAAATGTTACTAAAGTTAATTTATAAAAGAGAGATCTTTAGTATTTCTACTTAGTTAGAATAATTGAAATATCTTCCTTCATTTAAAAAAATTTTTTTTAAATTAAAAAAATGTTTTTACTTTTTGGCTGCACTGTGCAGCACGTGGGATCTTAGTTCCCTGACCAGGGATCGAACCCACACCCCCTGCAGTTGAAGTGTGCAGTCTTAACCACTGGACCACCAGGGAAGCCCCCATGAACTTCCTTAAATCATACTCATACTGAACTTTACTAGTAATTAATTATAAATTTAACTTATAAATTAAATTCAGTCCATTTTGAAGACTTATCAGTAGCTAGTAGTCTTTATTTAAATCATTTGTTAATGTTTTTCAACAAATCCCTATTATTCTGTTTTTTTTAATGGAGTAGGTACAAAATCATATTGTCAAAACCCATAACCTTTGTCAATCCACTGATCCCTCACACATAACCATTATCTTTTTGTTATCTATGAAACTTAAAAATAAAAAAGCAAAAGATCTCACTACATTTTTTAAATGTCCTCATATTTTATGTTACTTTGCTTTTATTAATTCTTAAAAAAATTTATAATTAATTTATTTTACTTTAGGCTGTGTTGTCTCTTTGTTACTGTGCGCGGGCTTTTCTTTTTTTTTTTTTTTTTTTTTTT